TTATGTCCACTGAAGTCGGTTTAAACACAAATTTGAACGAATCGGTTGGGGATAGTGTTAGCAATCCAGTATACCACAGCAGGAGAAGGCTGCTGCATTGGGACAGTCTGAGTGTATATTCACAAGCAGCCATTACCCTGACTGACTGAGGGGTCTTGTTACAGTTACCATTACTGGGTGATTGATTGGTTTCTGATGGAAAAACAACTTCTTTGTTTCCGTTTAATGTTTTTTGGGGGGGGGAGAAATGTGTATAAGGCCTTCTAGAATTCATATAATTTGAACTTCTAGTGGTTCTATATTGAACTTTACTTCAAATTTTAGTGATGGAATGAAAATTATTTTCTTTGTCTTTTTTGTCTCTCTGATATTTTTTATTATATATTTTAATATAGAAGTGGTTGAATATGGGTTAAAATATATATGTATTGGAGCCTGAAAGATGAACACAGGTGAATAGAATACTGATGATACATCGCGATTGGCGATCAAAAAGGCAGGAGATCCAACTCCTACATTTAAAAAGAGGACGGAGGAGTCCACACTTCATACCTTCATTTTACCCGAGGAAGTCCTGTTCAGGACGAAATGCGTAGGGCAGAGAGACCAAGGCAGCACCTTAAATTTGATTATATTTGTTTTTGTTTATTTATTTTTTTTTTTTATTAATTTATTGTGTATTAGTCCAATTTTGTTTTATTTCATCCGGCTTCTTCAAATCACTTGCCCCCATGAGAAGGGACATCGGCACTGGGAATACCTGAGTGTGTGATACGCTGTATTTATATAGTTTATCCTGTGAGTGCAACGTAAATAAAATTTATGTTATTGATTTTACTGGTGCCCTATGTTTTGTGTGTCTCTCCCTTTGAATTAGGGTTGAAAATGAAGAACATTTGAGCTCCTCTGAACCCAAAAGACTTTTATATGCCTGCATTTTACTTCAATTCTGTGAGTGCAACTCGTATAAACGCATTTCTGATGTTGTAACATACTACACCATTTCTGGTTTCTGTTTGTTCTTATATTTGTAGATTGTATTTTTTCATATTTTATTAAGAAGATTAGAGGGATCAACTTACAATCTCAAAAAGGGTAAATTCATTTTATATTCATTTACCTACTGGGGAGCACATGTGTTGCAATACAATTTTGTGTATTATTTGGGTATAGTACATATGCCTTCAGGGAATATTGAATGCCAAAACTTGCAGTCAGCGCAGCAGAACCCAATGGCTGTAAATACACTCATAGCCCAAGAAATTGCAGAGGGCTTTCTACTCGGCTTTCCAATCCCCACCATTTACAGCATGGAGAACAATCTTCCCTCAAACAGAGACTGATCATAGACTTGTCAGCACCACACACCTTGTCAGCACCACACACCTCTGCTACCCCAAATTTCAACTCCCTCATACCCTCCGAAGAGTTTTCCTTAACATACACCACCATTGATCATGCCATTACAGCCATCATTCAAGCAGGGGTTGGAGCTTGGTTAAGTAAGACTGATATTATCAACACATTTAAACTGCTACCAATCCATCCCACATATTGGCACTTACATGGTATTAAATGGGAAGGCAGTTACTATTTTTTCTCCCGTTTAACTTTTGGGTGAAAGAGTAGCCCAAATTTTTTGATATATTTGCCGAAACTCTTTGCTGGTTATTATTAAACATATCCAGATGCCCTACAGTCATACACTATCTAGATGACTTCTTGATGGTCAAAAAGAACACTTTTCCCCCTAGAAGCCTCAAGGAAGCAATGAGCATGTTTGACCACTTGGGTGTCCCAGTTTCCATTAAAAAAACAGAAGGCCCGGATACTATCATTACATTTCGTGGCCAACTTGACTCTGCATCCATGCACGCAAGTTTACCACAAGACAAAATAGGGAACATTCTCCACAAAATAAATTTCTACCTTCTGCTTGGTTCTTGAAACCACAAGGAGCTACAATCCCTTCTAGGTTCCGTAAATTTTGCCATGCACATCATACCACAAGGCCGCGCTTCCATATCTAGATTACTTTGCCTTTTCCCACATTTCTGACATGACGATCATAGACTGTCCTTCGATACCCAAGCCACAGCAGACCTACTCATGTGGAAGAAGTTCTTAACCACATGGAATGGTATAAGCATGTTCCTCCCAGGATTTTCTGAGACATCACCAACCATATGGTCAGACGCGGCGTCTACCACAGGTTTTACAGCAATCTATGGGAACTATATCGCTTTGGGTTAGTTGGCCTGTAGAAGTCCAGGATCTTGAAGGCTTTTCCAGTACCCCAGCTACTCAGACAACAAAGCCACATGCCATATCATCAACAAGGGCCGCTCATCATCTTTAATGATCATGAGATTTCTAAGGAAACTCACTTGGTTGGCCGCTATTCACAGTTTCTTTTTAGTTTGCTTTCATGTACCTGGTGTTTGTAACATCTCTGCTGACAATTTGTCTCAATTTAAATTTCAGGCATTTCATCAAGCGCTGCCTACAGCCGTTCAAGCAGCCACAGCCACAGCCACTCCATCCAGCACCTAATCATGGATTAGACATACTCATGCAACAAAGCAGGGAACTGTCCCAATTAGCACTTTCGTCCAATACTCGTAGGATGTATAACAGAGCCTTCACCTTGTATAAAAGATTCCTGTTGGAACACGACATATCTCAACCTTTTGTCATGACATCTATCCTAGGCTTTGCTTCTTTTTGCTATCTTAAACTGAAATTATCTCACAACACCATCAAATTAAATCTGGCAGGCATTCAACACCACATGCTAACCTTATGGCTAAACAACTAGATCTTCATGTCATCATACCAAATAAAGAACATACTCAGAGGTATTCAGAAAACAGTTCCCCCAAGTACATCACAGAGACTACCCATAGACAATCACCTTTTCAAATCCTTATCTAACCTATTAGATTTAAAAACATTCAATTCCAACACCCACACAGTAATTAAAACAGCCATGTATATAGCTTTCTATGGGTTTCTAAGGCCACGAGAGTTTACTACTATCACTACAGCTCAGACAACTCATTGTCTTCAACGGTCCCACCTTCATAAACACATGGCTCACTACCTATTGGCTCTACCACATTCTAAAACAAGTCAACACGCACCACCAGTAGAGATAACATACTATCCTACCCACAACAAATGGTGCCCGGTTACGGTGCTAGACTCCTACCTTCAAAACCCCAACTCACAACCATCACAGCCCTTATTTGTATTACAAGGCTCAATGCTTACTACCTCTACCTTCATGAAATATGTCAGATCACTGTTACCCCAGCTAGGTGCAACCCTTCTAACTACTTGGGTCACTCCTTCCACATGGGGCGGCCTCTACAGCCTCCAGTGACAATGTACCGGTACACATTATCAAATCACTGGGGTGGTGGAAATCATCTGCTTACACACGGTACATACTCAAGCCAGTACAAGAGATAAGAAATGCATTTAAGGAAATGCCTGGTTAATTGTATATATTTGTTGACTGTAATACATTTTTGATTATTCACTTTTGCCCTCTTTATTTACAGGCCTACCGTATCGTCGGTTCAGGCACACCACAACCGACTTGTTCTTGTATACTATCCTATGCTTATACTGGATCTTTACTCTTTATATGGTTATGTGCCCCTAACACAAATATATATATAAATATACTCTATTTAATCTTTGAGTCCTTTGGATTCAGGCAACAGGTGTTTCTGGATCCAAACAACACCCATGATCAGAATCCTCCTTAATCGTACTTTAATTTATAGTTTTTTTTCCATACAAAATCAGTTGGAGTGAGTATACAAATCTCATAAAGATGATGTGACAAAATGCCTTTTGTCACTGGATTTTTATATGACCAACTGCCCTTTGCCCCTGGCTGTTGGAGGAGCCTGATTGCCCGCCTCCTCCCTGGGGTGTATTGCCATTTAAAAAGACTATTTGGGGCTTATTGGTTTCTTAAAAACTGTTTCTATCCATTTGAATCCATGGGAAGATGTGTCTCTTCTCCTCCCCCGTTTCCTGTCTATTGTTCCAGCAGGGCGTTGTCCCAGGCACACTGCCAGGCCAGTTGGAACTTGCTGTTTTGCCCCTCATCGGTCTCTTATCAGCTCTTGCTATGTTTTAACCCCATGGTGATTTGACCGTGTTTGTGGATCTGAGCGCTGTTTGGATATAGTGAGCGCTCAGAACCAAGCTATCTGGGAATAGGTTGAATGTGGGGGTTCTGTTAAGTTTAATAGGAATTATGTATTTTTATGTGTTTTTACTGTTGTTGTGAATAGAGCTATTTTCTGTTTGCTGGAGGAATTGGCTTGCCACACCTAAGCCATGCTTGCAGATGGTCATAAAGGGACTTTCAACTAACTTTTGACCCACTGGACCAATCTGTATGATTTTGACGTATGTTTGTATTTGGAGTATGCTGATTCTGAATGTGAATGTGATGTATATTTTCAGAGTTATGAATATTGTGTATAACTGTGTATTTTCCTGCCTGTGATAATTATGTTAGACCATTGTGTTCAGTAATTATATCACAGGCAGAGGGGAGAATTTTGTGTGGGAGTGTCTGAGTGTATTGTACATATTTATTGGTTGTTCTGCAAAACCCTGTGGGCAGTACTATGTGTGTAAAATGTGCATAAAAGCAGAGTGTTTGATTAAAAGCTTCAGTTCTACTTCACCCTCAATTTGGAGTGCAGTCTCTTATTGGGGGAATCTGCTACAAGGGATGCTATGCTCTGCATATTCCCTTGCTATAATCACTACTAAATTCTTTTAAGAGTTTGTTCCTGTTTTGCTCTCTGAAGGAGTCTACAGTGGTTATGGTGTCTGCTGGAGTGCTGGAAACCATCAGGAAGCGCTAGGAGCATCCTTCAATGGAGGTACCCAGTCGGGGTGCCAGGAGATCCATTACAGATGATCACATATATTTACTGTTATATTACAAAGTGTTATTTTAATTTGCACAGTTGTTATGCCTTTAATCTCATTGTCACAATCTCACCAGTAGCCCCATCACAATAAGTAAAAATGACAGACAAGTGCAAATCTTAATTATTTAAAATATCTTTTAATAAGTTATATTTTACACAGATTTTAGAATACATTTCTCAGGATATCACCTATTTTTCAGTTCACATTCCTGTGTTGAAACATATTTTACTGTAAACGCTCTTTATAAAAAAATTAAATTGATGTAACAATATAACAAGCGGAAAGCGAAGTAAATGATAAAGGGACCAACATATAGAAACAGTTGGAGTGAAAGAATCCAATATGTATTTCAAATCGTAAACTGGTACAAGGGGGCCACAATGTGTTCCTCCCAAAGAATGTGTATTGTATAATGTTACTAGAATTGGAAAACATGTTGCCAAGTCAAGATTAGTTATAAATTGGACTCTCAGAGAGAGTGCATTGCAATCTCAATATCACTAATAGAGTGTTGTGAATAGGACCAGCATGCATTTAAAATTGAGAATAATTAAAAAATAATGGCTAATTGCACCAGAATGCATTGTACTCTCAGAATCACTAATCTATTGTAGATAAGGGGACCAACAAGCATTGCAACCCAAGTGTCACTAAAACATTCTGGCTGATAATACCATAGCACATTGCAAACTCAGAGTAAGTAATAGATTGTGGGTGATGGAGACTGAATAGATTGCAAATTTCACTTCTAGTAAACAGGATTACGGACTCCTTGACATTACTTCCCAAAGGAGAAGCCACTTTGGCAGCAATCTGAGCTCTTCTTACAGATAAATGGCTGGAAAAAAAAGAATGACATGGTAACCAACAGAACATAAAATACTCACAGGGTAATTCACTAAACTAAGAATTCAAAGGGAATTTTACATTCAAGTTCAAACTAGCCAAACTGTCTAAGCCAAGAGTGCACCCAAATTGCCTTCTTTGGCATTACGGCCTCAAACTGATATAATTGGACAAACTTTTTAAATAATATAATATTTCAATATGTAATTTTAAAATGATGTAATATTATGAAAAACATTTACATTTTTTAATATTTGAATATTCTTTTTTATATATATGATATTGTTTTGATATTTATTATGTCCAACAAATCACTTTAGAAGTTATTATTATTATTAACACCATTTATTTCATCCAAAATATTCATTTGGAAAGCGTATCCAAAAATGTTGAATAAGTTTTGAATTCTTACTTTACATTAAACTTCATTAGATAAATCGTTTGGAAAGTTTTTCTGACAGTATTGAATCATTTGGAAATTTGATAGATTGGGATAAGCTTTCACATTTTTATTTTTTTTGAAAATGTAAAAAATTCAAATGTTTGTCAATATAAAAAAAAAATCAATTTTCAAAATATTAAACATTTATCCAAAGATATTAAATCAATTGAAAAGCATATTCAAAAATGTTAAATCTAGGCCAAAGGAAAACATTTAATATTGTTGGATATGCTTTCCAAATGATTTAATATTTTTGAAGAAAATAAAATTCTACAAGAACTTTTTGCAACATGTTATTAAATCGAAAGGTAGTTTATGTATAAAAAAATCAATGTATACAAAAATATTAAGACATTACAAAATATACTAACTCTTTTTAAACATTTTTCCAAAGTTACTAAATCATTTATTAAGCATTTCTAATAATATTCAATCTAGGCCTAATATTTAATTTTACCAGACATGGACAGTCCCAAAAGTCAGAATGCATAGCCATGAAAGAAATGGGGTAATGAGGTCAGAATGATCGCTAGTTGTAGAGAGAAAGGGCTCATACCTCCTCATACCTCCCAAGTATCCCTGTTTATACCTCTTTTTGGCCAAACCTGTGAGGCTTTCACCCAAGTGAAAGAAGGCTTTGAAATATTAGGAATCACTGAACTGCAATATATGAAAAAATGCTGAATTTTCCTTGCTTCCCAGGTTACGCTATTTACTATATAACAAAAATAATTAATTAGCCGAAGGGTTACGTTTTACCAGAATTGCTGGAACCCAAGATCAACGAGAGGATCTCTATGGGCTGTTTGTACTCCATCCTACAGACCACCACTGCTTACAATGGAACTTTATAAAACAATAAACGGGCCCATAATTACAATGTAGCAAATACAGGGACATTCACAATAATAAAAGAGCATGCACAGAAATTCTCAGACGTAATACTAATTATAATGCAACTTCCCCGGAATTATCTGCAAATTAAAATATATCTTACAATAAAAACTCACCAAACAGCAGAAACTGCACAAAATAAGGAGCAACATCAGACTCATCAAAACCAGGAGTGCTATTCCCCATCCAGGTACGTCACCTGAGAGAGGGACAGGTAACAATATACAGCAAAGAAGAATCAGAAAGCAGCGTACACATACAGATAATAACTGATTAAATACACAACAGCCCAGGTCAGGGTCATTCCCATCTCTGTCGCTGATGCCTACAGAACATTCAGTAGAACAGGCAATGGATAAGTAAAATATGTTAAAATAACCAGCCTTGTATACATATCCCAGCATTCAGTGATCCCTGGATAGATTGTGCAGACTAGATGGGGCGATTAGTTCTTATCTGCCGTCACATTCTATGTTTCTATTGTCTAACATTTACTAAGACACAGAGATCGCTCTGAAGCAAACTTGTATGTCACTATGAGCATTTCTTTTTCAAAACTAATGGTTTTATTTAGTAACATATAATTCCTTCCTAGAGATGGGGTCTGAAGGAAGAACTAAAAACCTGCAGGTTTTAAATACAGAATTATATTTTTATACTCAAATTCTAGGCAGCTCCCAATGGTAAATAAATAAGGACTTCCTTGATCCTATAAAGGTAGCAGCTTTGTTGAATAAATGTCCACAAAAAGACCTTGCAACCCACCTGTCAAGCCGTCCTCTCTCTTTAACTACTGACTTGCAACGTGAATGATGCATATATTACTCTTTATTAATTAATTTCTACATGTTTCAACATGTGTAGGAACAGGGTTTGCTCTGCTAATTAGGTGTTCTATAAATATAGACAGATCTCCTTATGAAACAATTAGCACTATAGATAATTTCTGCAGAATTTAAATAACAATGTCCTTACACCTGAGTTATGATATAAGTTATTAATGCCGTCTAGCAAACTGAGAATTACATGAGAGATAATAATTATTACAGGATTCTGCTTACCTGTACAATTGTTATTTGCCTGCGCATCTGAAGATAAAAAAATAAAATGTGTTACATGAGTTTATAAAGTGAGGAAACAAGGGAGAGGGAGGAGGGATAACAATGTGATGAGGAATATGGAAACTAAAATAGAGGGGAGAGAGAAAGAGAGGAAGGAGAAAGGAATATGAAGAAAGAAAGAAAGAATGGCAGAGAGACAGAGAGACAGAGAAGGAAATAAGTAACTGAGATAAAAGATGAAGGGAGAGAGACCTGGAGTACAGGACGCTGCTCTAACGTTCAGTGATTTCTGTAATGGTTCTAGTAAAATCATTACTTCATTAAATGAAAGTAATCTGGAACCCAGAAGATTATTATGGCAAACATGGAACTGAAAGAAATGATAGGAAAAGCGGCGGTTGAAAAAGAAAAGATAAAATAGTGAACACTCAAACCAAAGGGGGTTAGTAACCATATATTGAGGAAAGGATTGGTAAAGGCTCCGACACCATACGTTTATTAGCTGTTTAGCTCAGGTAAAACGTAATTAGAGCTGTAACAAAATTAACGAATTGAGGTCAGAGTAATTTTAAGACAATGGTAGATCCGGGACTCCACTTTATTTCTACCTGTTTTTACTATTACCTGAAAAAGCCAAAGAAGTGGATCCATGTTAAGGTTATTCACTTAAGAGTGAACTTTTAGGCTTTCAAATTGAATTGTAGAATATTATGCCAAAATAGCAAGAATAAAAACTGCTGAATTTTTAGAAATGGAATTCGGCCCAAAATGCAAACTTCTCTTTTAATTCTCTGTAAATTCCTGACAGTGCGTGCTTTAGTAAATAACCCTCGGGGTAAACCTGTTAGCAGAATTTTGGGTGAAATCGCTTCTTATTCTAACAAGTAACAAGTAACTTGCTAACAATGGAGGAAACATATAGGGGTCGCCAAACACACTCTTCCCCTCTCTTCCAGCCTTTTTGTTAATTTTTCCTTCACAGGTCTTTTTCCAACTTCTCTAGCGTTAAGATGACCTCACTGTGTGTTCATCTTTGATAGTAAAAGAAGAGGCTGCGTGAGGTCTACTTCATTTCGATAAGTGGGCATTACAGAATGAAAGTAAGGTCCAAGACTGTAAATCCAGAGTCTCTGATAGAATAAGAGAACATTTTTGTTTACCTGTCACCTGTAGATTGAGAACCATGCAGACAGCCAGAGCCCAGAGTCCAGCTTTGCACAGGAAACTTTCAGCAGTCATAATGAGAATAAATTCCACTTCGGGACTTTAGAGTCTAGTTGTGAATCCAAGTTGTTCTGATGTCCTCTGCTCTGAGACCTCCCGTCTTATATATGTCTCAGGGGCAGGATCGTCTCAGCTCACAAGAAAGATCACTGCGTCAAACATTCCAAAATCTATGAGTGGAAGGGTTAGAATTGATTAATTACACCTTTACACATTGTATTATATTTTTTATTACTGATATCCTGGCATTATTGTCCTTTATGAAGTAGGTCAACTATTCAATGTATTGTATTCCACAAACATATAACTGTTTAATTATTACAATTAACCACAAACAATTAAGAGCACATGTTGAGCTTGCTCAAATACAGGTTTCACGTGGATTGATTTACCCCTTCTTACAGGGATACTTCAGTTAAAACAATTATTAGCCAAATATTTACTTAACGTTTGTACATTTATTATTTAAACATCTATTAATGCATTAATTTCATGTGTAAATTAAATGATTTCATTACTAGCCATTGGCAAGTGAAAATTCACCCCTGCCAGGTATGCTATGGCTTGCAGTGGTGAGTAACTCTTACGGCTTGGCTAGTAGAATAGGACTTCAAATTGTAACACTGAGAAATACATTACAAAAATAACAGTATTTAAGTATACTACAATTTGGTTTTCATTTTTTCTTCTTTTTTTTTAAATATATATAAGGGAACATGCTTAGAGATTTCATGTCATTATCTTCAGCAAAATTTCAGGCAGGTTCTCAATTATTATAATAAAAGTAGAAGCAACATTTGTGCCACATACCATAGGTACCAAATACAGATTAAGAAATCCCCAAATATGGGAATTGAGTTACACCTTATGGAGTGCTGTGACGTACTATTTATTGTTAATATTTATAAAGCGCCAACATTTTCCACAGCACTGTACAATTAGTGGAGGACGTAGAATATACACAGACAAATACAAAATGTAGAGAGGGCCCTGCCCGTAAGCTGATATCTAGCCATTTAAGCTCTATTATACAAAGTGCTTAGCTACACAGCCCGTGAGCTTACAATCTAAAGGATACAGTGGGGATTTGAGACCAGAGGTATCAGAGAAAATTTGGAAGTGTTGCCTAAAAGTAGTTCACAGAGAGTTGCAGCTATTGGTAAAAATATAAAGGGAATGAGGAGGTAATTTCTTTAAATGCCGAACCGAAGGGCTAGTGTTCCTCCTGTTATGAAGAAAAACACTCCCAGATTAACTTGCACATATGGCATGCTCTAAGAGCATTAACAGGTGCATAAAGAGGATACAACGCCCAGGACAATACATTATGCATCACCGTCTGAGCTTTGGCAGCTCCCCTTG